ACTTGCTGCTTTGAAAAGTGTTTAATATTTTTTATTTGCTTTATTTGTTTGTTTCTCACACACCCTGACGCAGCCGTTAAAATAAATAGGTTTTATTTTTCTCATGTGAGGCTAAATATTATGAGCAGTTTGGTAGGGATATTGAAATACTACATTTTAATATGAATGTAGGCCATCTATTGTAGGTTAATATAGCTTTCTTAGGCCTACTATAGAGACTGTAGTCATGTTGTGAGTTTCCAGTCACCTAAATGTTGAGATTCAGTCTTTCAAACATTATCTGAGCACATTTTATGGCATGAATGGAGTTTTTGTTTCATTGCTTTATGAAGTTAATTTAGAACAATGTTTGGACACTTTTGAGTGAGTTAAATAAATTAATCTCATTTTTGACAACTTTGTTAAAGTGAGGGGGAACGACCACTTATTCAGTGCCCGAGTTTAAATTTAACCAAAACAGAGTTGTATCCTTCACTCATGTCATGAGTGTTGCATAGTTTGGCCACCAGAGGACGCTCTGCAATTCCCCTGCTAACAACACTGCTGCACCACAAAACAAAACAAACAGCTGACCGGAGTCGAGCAGAGTTTAGCAGAACCCACGACGGGAATATCAAGAGGTAGTTGTGGCCAATTCCGTTAGAAGCTCCTGACTGCAGTGTGCAGAGAGGGGCGGTGCTCAACATGGGCGGCGTTAAACGTTTGAACCCGCCCACGTTGAACAAAGCTCTACGGAGAAGCCCCATAGTGGAGGCCATAGACTGAAACTCACATTGGACTTCAGATTACAGAAACAATTGAACTGTGTCTTTGACATTAAGTTGCACATTCTGGGATTACGTTATGTAAAGGATAATGTACGGCGAGCCGGTCATTGTTTCCTCGGCACCAGGAGAGGTGAGGAATAATCTGGTGACAAGTCACAAGAAGTACGGGGCATATAAGCCATGGATGGTTGTATGATGAGTTACTGGTGTGTAGCTCCGCCAGGTGCCCAACTGTGGTCGCACCAACACACAACCACAAACCTTTACCTCGTGTTTATCTCTGTGTGGACGGACATAATGAGACTAATTCTTCATGATTCCTCCAGAGTCGACCAGGAGAGTTCAGAGTCTGTCCAGCAGCATCAAACACACCTGGACTCCGTATTTATGGTCTGTACATGTACAACAACTCATTTTCCATCTATTCTGTTCACAATAATCTCCAGGCTGCAGTTTTTAGTGTCAGTCTGTCCAACATGGATCTGATGTTTGGTTCGTGATTTTAGGTTGATTGTGTTGTTAATATAATTTTCTGTTCCAGCTGCTGGAGGAGAAAATGAAAACCTTTATGAATAATGAACTGAAGAAGTTCAAGAAGGCTCTGAGTTCAGATGACCAACGCTTAGAGATTCAACGGGAGGATGAGGAAGTGTTTTTTCTGAAGACCACACTGTGCTTCTTGAGGAAAATGAAGCAGGACGAGCTGGCTGACAGTCTGCAGAGCAGTAAGAGGATTTCTCTAAAGATTTAACCTGCTGGATAAACAGGACATTTACTGATGTTTCATGAGATGGAGGGAAATATGTTCAAATACTAATTCTTTAGGAGATGGTGAAATATTGGCTTTATCTTAAGGTTACTGATATTTTTTGTTGTGTGTTCATTCAGGAACTCCCTCTTCAGTTTGTCAGCGTAAATTCAAGTCTAACCTGAAGAAGAAGTTCCAGTGTGTGTTTGAGGGGATTGCAAAAGCAGGAAACCCAACCCTTCTGAACCAGATCTACACAGAGCTCTACATCACAGAGGGAGGGACTGCAGAGGTCAATAATGAACATGAGGTCAGACAGATTGAAACAGCATCCAGGAAACTAGACAGACCAGAAACAACCATCAGACAAGAAGACATCTTTAAACCCTCACCTGGAAAAGATCGACCAATCAGAACAGTGTTGACAAAGGGAGTGGCTGGCATTGGGAAAACAGTTTTAACACAGAAGTTCACTCTGGACTGGGCTGAAGACGAAGCCAACCAGGACATACAGTTCACATTTCCATTCACTTTCAGAGAGCTGAATGTGCTGAAAGAGAAAAAGTGCAGCTTGGTGGAACTTGTTCATCACTTCTTCACTGAAACCAAAGAAGCAGGAATCTGCAGGTTTGAAGAGTTCCAGGTTGTGTTCATCTTTGACGGTCTGGATGAGTGTCGACTTCCTCTGGACTTCCACAACACTAAAATCCTGACTGATGTTACAGAGTCCACCTCAGTGGATGTGCTGCTGACAAACCTCATCAGAGGGTACCTGCTTCCCTCTGCTCGCCTCTGGATAACCACACGACCTGCAGCAGCCAATCAGATCCCTCCTGGGTGTGTTGACATGGTGACAGAGGTCAGAGGGTTCACTGACCCACAGAAGGAGGAGTACTTCAGGAAGAGATTCAGAGATAAGAAGCAGGCCGGCAGAATCATCTCCCACATCAAGACATCACAAAGCCTCCACATCATGTGCCACATCCCAGTCTTCTGCTGGATCACTGCTACAGTTCTGGAGGAGGTGTTGAAGACCAGAGAGGGAGGAGAGCTGCCCAAGACCCTGACTGAGATGTACATCCACTTCCTGGTGGTTCAGTCCAGACTGAAGAACATCAAGTATGATGGAGGAGCTGAGACAGATCCAACCTGGAGTCCAGAGAGCAGGAAGATGATTGAGTCTCTGGGAAAACTGGCTTTTGAGCAGCTGCAGAAAGGAAACCTGATCTTCTATGAATCAGACCTGACAGAGTGTGGCATCGATATCAGAGCAGCCTCAATGTACTCAGGAGTGTTCACACAGATCTTTAAAGAGGAGAGTGGTCTGTACCAGGACAAGGTCTTCTGCTTCGTCCATCTGAGCGTTCAGGAGTTTCTGGCTGCTCTTCATGTCCATCTGACCTTCATCAACTCTGGTGTCAATCTGCTGGCAGAAGAACAATCAACCTCCCAGAAGTCTGAAACAACAAAAGATGAATCTGTAGGGCTGCAGCTCTACCAGAGTGCAGTGGACCAGGCCTTACAGAGTCCAAATGGACACCTGGACTTGTTCCTCCGCTTCCTCCTGGGACTTTCACTGCAGACCAATCAGACTCTCCTACGAGGCCTGCTGACACAGACAGGAAGTAGCTCAGAGACCAATCAGGTAGCAGTTGAGTACATCAAGAAGAAGATTGAAGAGACTCCCTCTGCAGAGAGAAGCATCAATCTGTTCCACTGTCTGAATGAACTGAATGATCGTTCTCTAGTGGAGCATGTCCAACAGTCCCTGAGTTCAGGAAGTCTCTCCACAGATAAACTCTCTCCTGCTCAGTGGTCAGCTCTGGTCTTCATCTTACTGTCATCAGAAAAAGATCTGGACGTGTTTGACCTGAAGAAATTCTCTGCTTCAGAGGAGGCTCTTCTGAGGCTGCTGCCAGTGGTCAGAGCCTCCAAGAAAGTTCTGTAAGTGAGATTTATTCATCAATAAATACTCTGCTATCTTTCAACAGGAGGAAAAAATAAATACCTTATTTATTTAGTTAGTGATGTCTCTCCAGCCTGAGTCTGTATAACCACTCAGATAGTAGCTGTGATCATGTGTAGCTTGCATTTTGTTGTAATTCAGATATTGTTCAGAATGAAATATGAACTATATTTAGCCGAATCAGAATTGTCAAGTCCTGCCTATAGTCGAATCATGTACGTGCTTGTGCAGGGTGATTGTGAGCAGCGAGGGTTACACACGGTTTGATCTTGAGAAGCTGCAGAGCTGCAGTCTCTATTTAATAGTCACTGTAACTTACACTCTAAACTACAAATAAACTGAGGCTTATTGTTGATCATTTTCTCTCTGCTCGCCTGCTATTCACCGGTCCTCTGCAGAGTTTTGCGTGCCGCACATCGCGCTTCCTCGCGGTAATGTCGTGTAAAAATTCAAGACTTGGGCCAGATAAGAAAGCTTGAACTTTTACCAACATTTTTATTATCAACAAAAACAGACACCAATTAGAACACAAAAGTTCCACCGGAGTGTTTTAGAGATCGGTGCAAAATAGAGTCCCATTCTGTTACCAGAACAGAGACCCGAGTCGACATGAAAACCATGTAACAACCTCCTTCTGGACCTCCTTTTATAGCTCTGTTTCTTGGCTTCACATCATCTCTTGGCTTTCTTTCCTACTGCACCTGAGTCTGGGAAAGTCCAAGATTTTCACGTGCCTAAACATTTGGTGGGAAAGTCCCTGACTGCCTGCTCCTCCTCTCTGTGTCCTCTGCATGCTCTCTGCTTGATCATGCCATTTCATCCATAACCTGACTTTTATGGAATAAACTGGTGTTGTTTGTGCTCTGTGCTAGAAACAGGACATTCTTACTGTGATGGACTGTACGTTTTGTAATACAGTTTGCACAAAATCTGCTTCTATATTTTCCTTTGCAGGTGTTTTTGATGCTGCCTCACTGTGCTCCCTCCCTTTTCTCCCAAAGCACACACACTCAGAGCTGTAGAGTTTTAACACTGTGATCTAACTTTACACTATAAAATAACACTTTAAATGATGACAGTGTAGACCACCATTGCTCTAGTAATTAATGATAACAATTTAGGCTATAATGCTCCAAAATAATTCCCAACAGCGGCTCCATTTCAAGTAACTGTCTAAAACTGATATAATAATCTTTGTGTGGTTCATCAATGGTGATAAATGATCCGAACGTCCCGTGAGGTGCCGACAACTCTGCACAACACCAGTAAAGCCAATAAATCGTGCAGCCCTAGTTCCTCCTCTGCCACTACACACATGCGCACTGACTCCTCTTCTTTGAGAGCTGGGGTTACAGTTCCACTGGTCGTCTGTTTATTCCTCATTCAGTCAAGATTAGTTGCCACATCTCCAACATGTTCAAAGTCAAACAGCAAAGATTTTAACATGTGCTGAGAAGAGATTATATACAGTGTAGTTTTGAGACTCAACATTTTAAAACAATTGGTATTTCCTCTCCAGACTGAGTAGCTGTAACCTCTCAGAGAGAAGCTGTGAAGCTCTGTGCTCAGTTCTCAGCTCCCAGTCCTCCAGTCTGAGAGAGCTGGACCTGAGTAACAACAGCCTGCAGGATTCAGGAGTGAAGCTGCTGTCTGCAGGACTGAGGAGTCCACACTGTAAGCTGGAAAAACTCAGGTCAGATAAAGTTACAGTTTGTCTTAAAATATTTAAGTTATTTCTGTAAATATCAAGCTCCATTTAAACATCTTTTCATTTCACAGAACAAACAATCTTTGAATTTTCTAATGCAATTTATTGTAAATCAGATTAACATACAACACGAAGTAAGAAATCTGGCTAAGATGGGAAACCTCATTTATGTTTAATAATATACATTTTATTATCATTGCAGGTTTATTACTGGTACAAAGATGGTTAATTGTCATATCTACAACATGTTTAGAGTAAAACAACAAAGATCTTAACACTTGCTGATCAGCAAAAGTCCAAACTCAGTGTTTTAAAACAAATGTTTGTTGTCTTGTTGTTCTCGATTATTTCCTCTCCAGACTGAGTCTCTGTAACCTCTCAGAGAGAAGCTGTGAAGCTCTGTGCTCAGTTCTCAGCTCCCAGTCCTCCAGTCTGAGAGAGCTGGACCTGAGTAACAACAACCTGCAGGATTCAGGAGTGAAGCTGTCTGTCGGACTGCAGAGTCCACACTGTAAACTGGAAACCCTCAGGTCAGATAAAGTTACAGTTTGTCTGAATATGTTGAAGTTATTTCTCTAAATATCAAGCTCTATTTTATTTAACCAGTCTCTCATTTCAAGGAACAATCAATCATTGAATTTACAAATGTATTTTGTTGTAATTCAGATTCACATATTATACAGCGTGAAATAAGAACTCTGGCTGAGATGGGAAACCTCATTTATATGTAATACTAGGGCTGTCCCCGACTAAGGATTTATAGGCGAATCAGAATTGTGAAGTCTTGCCTTTAGTTGAATCATATGTTTGTGCGGTGGCAGGGCAGCGATTGCTCCGCTTTAAAGGTCCAGTGTTTAATATTTCTGAGGACCTAGTAAACAATATCCATAACTGTGTTTTCAGTGGTGTATAAAGACCTCACATAATGATCTGTAATGTTTTTATTACCGTAGAATGAGTCATTTCGATCTACATACAGCGCGGGTCCCCTTACATGGAGGTTGCCATGTTGCACTACAGAGCGTGTTTTGTCACTACATAGTACAAGTAAATGCGTGTGAGAGCTGTTAGCTGTGACTGCTACCAATGCTGCTGCAAAGTACTGCTCCATTAGCTATTTTTAAATCATGTGGCGCTACCTACAGGTAAAAGAATCACATGCCACAGACTAAGTTAAAATATTAAAGCTGCAAGCAGCACTGGACGGGCCCTCGCACGTGAAGAGCGCCAGATAGTGTTGCGGCCGCACTGCAGATGCCGCAGCTTTCCTGATGCACCTCTGAAATGTCACGCTGCACAAAATACGTAAAAGTGACTTCGTGTGTCCCCAGTGTGGCGCAAAGGAGCAACCAGTAACTGTATGTTTTGTCCCAGTACATTAAGTGTGGAACACATTGAGAAAATGTTATTTAAAACACAGAGTGTCAGAGCTTCCTGCCTGTTGCCAGTAGGTGGCGCTGTGACTATCTAATGAGTTTGCACATGTGTTCAGGGCGAGACTTTTATCAAACGTGTAAAATTTGGTACAGATTTGAGCATTTACAGTCAAGATACAACAACTTCCTGTGTCATGGCGAAGCGTGGACCTTTGCTGCCACAGACACGCTGTAAGCTTCACAGCATACCGTCATCACCGTGTTGAGGCTTTTCAGGGACAGTGTTGAAGCATGATGCATGGTGCTGTGACTTGAATGTTATCACACCTGTCACATTTGGTACAGATGTGAGCATGTACACGTTAAGTGTGGAAGTTTCAGGGACATCTAGTGTTGAGGGTTGCGAATTGCAATGAATTGCAAAAAAACTCCTCAATCAACAGATTTTGCTAGATGAGTGCATCAATGATAATAAACAAACTTATTTAGCTCAACATCTTTATTTCCCATACATTCATAACCTTTCTTTCACTGTTCATATGCAATAACAATGCCACAACATTTTTTCAATTAAAAATACTGATTTTTTGTGGTATTGAAGACCTTCAAGAAACTTTAGGATGACACCTGCCTCTTTGGTTTTAATAAGCAAGTCACCACTGCACTGAACAAGAGCAGGTCAAGCCTGAGCTGGAACACTTAAGTCACAGTACTGTTAACTGCCAACATGTCATGTGTACAGTCATTCAGAGGGCTAAAATAGTTACAGATGCCTCTTATACTGTCAACATTTTATCTTCTAAATACACATTTTTTCACCATATTTTCTGTCTCTGCTGCATTTGTCACACAAACCAGATGTAAAGTAAACTCCTTTTAATCTGCGCCTTCGAGCCAATCAGATTACAGCAAAAACGAGGATCAGGCCAAGTTGGGAGGGGCCGCTCGTATCCCCCCTAAACATTTAGTGTTTTACTTTGGCCCAGTCTGACAGACAGCGCTCCGCTGCAGCTGACCGGCCTCTCGGTCGCGGATTATAAAGTACTGCGATTGATCCTGCTGAAAATATAAGGTGTTATTTTTTTCTATAAAATGGAAGCATTTCTATAGACCCTAATAATAATAATAATAATAATAACAACAACCTGCAGGATTCAGAAGTGAAGCTGATGTGTGCTGGACTAAAGAGTCCACATTGTACTTTGGAAACGCTCAGGTCAGGATTGATTAACTCACTCAATTGATGGCTATTTAAAATCTGATTCACATAAGTGGATAAACGGCTAAGTTGTGTAGGATTGTCTGCTAATATGACTTGTCAAGGACCTTAACCTGAACTTTGGCAGTTGTTTCTAGACTCATTACTCTAGACTCTTTACATTAAAATTTCTAGTGATTTTCTGTTGTTCGTTGTTTTGTTGTTTGCTGTTTATATTAAATGCCACAAATTATTTTAAAGATTTGTTTAAAATTTTCACAAAAATGTACCTGAACAAAAAACTAACAAACAGAAAAACTTTACCGCCTCTTGTTCACAGAGGGTTCATGTTTGTGTCGTTTTGTGTGTTTCCAGGCTGTCAGGCTGTCTGATCACAGAGGAAGGTTGTGCTTCTCTGGCCTCAGCTCTCCCCTCCCATCTGAGAGAGCTGGACCTGAGCTACAATCATCCAGGAGACTCAGGAGTGAAGCTGCTGTCTGCTAAACAGGAGGATCCACACTGCAGACTGGACACTCTCAGGTATGAAGAGGCCTGCTGCAGCCACAGACTGTCTGATAGAGGAGGTCTTTTTGGTTAATGTTGGATATGAGTTGTAACGGCTAAGGCCAGGAATCCACTGACTCCTGCTGCACCAGCCACAGCAGCTGCATCTGTGGAGGTCAAAAACTAGTTGGCCTTTCCCTCGGGCAACACCTGTGCCTGGTTGCACCTGCCCTCCTAAGTAGATGAGCCCCAATTAGATATGCCGGCACTATGGTACCACCTACTGGCCAAACGGCGACGTACAACATTAAAATGGCTCCTACATAAGTGTTGATATGATTATATGAACAATCACACATGTAGGAAGCCTTTTTCTTTTGCTCAGAAGAGAAACACTAACTAAACATAAAATGGAAATATTTTTATAGCCGATCTCCAAGGAGAACATCTCCAGGAATGAACATGATAATTGTCTGGTAATAATATGTAATTATAACAATATAATAACTGTCATTTTGAGAAATAACCTTGTTTGCCCTCTTACCCGGGATCGAATCAGTTTCATCATTCTTTTACTTAAAGTTATATTCACCAGATAGAAGATAAAAGAAGAGTGTGTGTGTGATAGACAGTGTGTCTTTGTTCTCAGCTGTATGGCTGGTGTGCACAAGCCTGGATACAGGTGTAGAACAAAGAAAGCATGTGCAGTGGGAACGTTAAGTTTCTTTCTGCAAGTGTGGCGTTGGCTGAGAACACGATAACCTCAAGTTAAAGGGTCACAGGAATAAATCTCAGTGAAAAATGTACATTGATCAAAAGCTACACAGTCCTGTGTTTAGCCAAGTAAAGTTACAGTTAAGCTATGAGAGGCTATAATCCGCAGTCAAGACTAGTTCACACTACACAATTTAAAGCCCGAACTCAGACAGTTGGGTTGTGACTGGGGGCAAATCAGCCATCGATCAGTGGCATACAGATATCTAGCAATCTAAATAGAGGGCTTGACAATAACAGTGGCCCAGTGGCCCGGGGCCAGGAAAAAGTCGAGACAGTTGAACTAGCAACTCACTGGCCTGATCAAAACATTGTTTTTTCCTTTTTTTAAAGAGGTGGTATTATGCTTTTTGGCTTTTCCCCTCTTCTTCATTGAGTTATATTTCTTTTTTGTGCATGTAACTGGTTTGCAGAGTAAAAAAGCCCAAAGTCCAGTCCAAAGGGAGTTCCCATCTCCCACAGAAAACGCGTCATAAAGCTTGCCAAGCGGCTAGCGGGGTCAGTCACGCCCTCAAACCAAGCTAGTCTGAGCGGAGGCCCTTTGGCTCGACTCGCCTTTGTTTGGTTTTCCATTGTAGAAATGTTGCACCTGTACCTGCTTCCAGGTACTTTTTTTCATATCTCCTCCGTCGAGGTTCCAAGCGAGCTGAGGGAAACTAAAATGTAACGTGAAAACACGACTAAGAATATTCACTATTCACTGCATCATCATTGCTGCGCCAGACAGAGGCAGCAACAGGAAGTTTTATATTTTACTGTTTCGTACTTTATTTCATCCACTTCTGAGAAGTTTTGAGGTGAAATCAGCTGTGTAGATTTTGAATATTGACAGTTTTACGAGAAGTGATGGCGGAACAAAAATGCTTGAATATTTTGGAGTTGAGGAGCTCCGCGAGTGGCGGCGGGGGAAGCCTGCTGTGACCTGCGGGAGGAGCGCGTGAGGCCGGCCAGCCGCCCAATCACAGAGCCCTCTGCTCCCGCCGTCACACAGACCGCTGCAGCAACAACGGCAGAGGAAAACACAGCTGGAAGCTTTTCATACCGCTTATCTGTCTTTACATCCTGAGCAAGGTTGAAACGTTTTAACTTAAAAAAGAGAAAGCTGTGTGGATCGCTGGTGTGTGTGTCGCATTGAACATTACGTCGCGGCAGGTGTGTGTGGCGTCGCTATGACGACAAGCTACGTACTATCTCTGGGTACTATCTGCCATGGAAAACGGAGCAGAGTCGAGCAGAGTCGAGTAGAGTCGAGTCTATCGATTTGCGCTATGGTAGCATTTTTCGGCGAGGCAGCATAGATCGTCAGAACACTGGTGTCGTGCCGAAAAGTGATCGTCTGCTGAAAAGTGATGTTGGTAGGCCTATGTGTAATATCTTTGTTTATATTTGGAAAACAGGCTGTAGCCTAATTAACATGACTTACTGCCAACTTGGATATAAAATGAAGACAATTTTGCAGTTATCCTATTTTACTTGCTGTGTAGACCTACCAACCAATCCACTCTTTTTTACCTCTTAAAATACCTTTAAATGGCCAAAACAACCCAAAAAATGCAGTAGGCTATTTCACTTGTCAGAAAGTGATTGAAGGGACTGGACAATACAGCTCCAGCAGACGGCAATCAGTTTTCGGCAACAGTTCAACGTTTAGTCCTGATGGTGAGATGTGGAACAATGATGTTGTGGACTTGAGAGTAACTTCTACCATCTGCTAGGTTAGAGTCTCAGTCTGAAGCGGCTTTGATTTGGATCACACTGCCTTGTTTCTTACGACCCGCCCTTCTCTGCTTCTGATTGGCTAGTAGTCCTTACCTGGGAACTGCGCATGTGCAACTCCCAACAAAGATTTTGTACAAGTAAGATGCATCACTCTGTAGCTCAAGAGAGGAGCGTCCAACACACAGGGTGAAAAGAGGAGCTGCATCAATGTGCAGGATGAGGAAAATATGGTGTGTTTTGAAAATATAAGCATGTAAACCTGTTCTGGTACAACCCCTAATTAAGATTTTGAACCTGAAAATGAGCAGAATACCACCTCTTTTAAAGTTAGAAACTTAGAAACCACATCCTGCAGTTGTTTTGCAGCTCATGACGCGCACCGTTATCCAATCCACCGTTGTAGTTGCGTGACAAGTGGTCAAATGTTATTTCTCTAATCTTCTTAATCAAGCAGCAACCTCTGGGTCTGAAAGTGAAACCATGCAGAGGGAACTTAAACCTGCATTCTCTCTAACGGCCAGCAGGGGCGAGTCCACTGATTGCAAAAAGAAGTCCGTTTCCATTAGAAATAAAAAGTTGCTACTTCTCATCTGATCATTGAGTTTATGGTCGCTGGTTTCAAGTCTTCTTCAACACAACATGATGTTGATAGAATAAATTATGGTGCTGTTTAGGGGAAATAGACGATAATGCAGCGTATGCTTTTTGGGCGGGACAACCTTGTGACTGACAGGTCGCTACCATGGCAACCTGTCAGTAAGGATAGAGGCGACTCGTGTCTGCTGCTCTGTGTACATGTCTTTTATTAAATGTCTGTCAGCAGGAGAGAGAGCACGTCATGTTTGAGTCTGTTAGGATGTTTTGTTTTAAAAGTAAATTGTTTTGTTAACATTTTTATTTTTTATCATTTTAATTGTGATATTTTAGTTTTTTTATTTCCAGGATGTATTTAATAACCAATTAAACATGTTACCTGTAGAACATAACTTATAAGTCTTTGGTTTTGTTGTAACACTGATAAATAACTTTTGGAAGGAGGTCCAGTAAGTTTTAAACCAACTGGCCCAGTGGGGCCGTTTGCAAAAAGGTTTAACATTGAGCTCTGTAAATATCTGGAGCTGTTGTGGACGTTGATGACATCCACATCCAGAAAATAAAAATAAGAGCAGGCACAGACAGTCCCTGCTACCCCTGTTTGCTGTTCCATTCTTTCATCCATAGTCTTTGTCTTTGTAACTTTTATCTTAGAGGTTTAGGGGGAGCAGGGAGAAGCAGGCCAGATGAACATAATGTGTAAATGTGTATGAGAGGAATGTAATGTCCATGTTTGATGCTGGTCTGACCCCCCTCTCTTCTTTCAGGGTGGAGCCTGCTGGAGTCCGATGGTTGAAACCAGGTCTGAGGAAGTGTAAGTGTGTTTTTCATGTGATTCATGAAAACAAAACAGCAAACATTCAACAAATATCTGATGACAATCAGTGAACAGAGGATAGATCAATAACTGCAGCTGTTCTCTCCATCAGATTCCTGTGAACTCACACTCGACATAAACACAGCAAATCAAAATACCAAGCTGTCTGACAACAACAGGAAGGCGACACATGTGCAGGAGAATCAGTCATATCCTGATCATCCATACAGGTTTGACTTCTGGTCTCAGGTGATGTGTACAACTGGTCTGACTGGTCGCTGTTACTGGGAGGTCGAGTGGACAGAAAAAGTTACTGTAGCAATGAGTTACAGAGGAATCAGCAAGAGTGGAAGCTCTGAATACAGCTATTTTGGAGGGAATGATAAGTCCTGGAGACTGGACTGCTCTACAGATGGTTACTCTGCCTGTCACAATGACAGAGGAACAGACATCTCCACCTCCTCTGTCTCTAACAGAGTAGGAGTGTATCTGGACTGGCCTGCTGGCTCTCTGTCCTTCTACAGAGTCTCCTCTGACACACTGATCCACCTCCACACCTTCAACGCCACATTCACTGAACCTCTTTATCCTGGCTTTGGGTTCTGGCTCAACCCTTATTCTTCAGTGTCTCTGTGTTCTCTGTAGGAGGGAGAATCTGGTCCTGTTGGAGAACAGATCAGTTGAGTCGTACAGGATCACAGTTGCAGAGGTCTTTCAGGTTCTTCTTATAAATTCATCAATGAATCAAAGTGATTCCTCATTTACATTGTTAACATCGTCCACTTCTGGTCCTTTAAAGATAAAAGCTCTGATCATTAAATGATGGAAATGATGTTGACTTGTACCTTCTGCCCCTTTAATATCCTTCTGATGTTTTTGAATGTGGTTGTTTTATCTTAACATTTATAATTTTTTGCTTGCTGTATGTCATATCGATATATCTCTATATCTATATATCTATATCTCTATATTTATCGATCGATCTATCTATATATCTAAATAGCTATGTATATAGTATCATAAAAGGGCTAAATGTCCAATTGTTAACAAAATAAAGAATGTCAGAGCTCTTCTTCATTTGTAAAGAGACCAGTTTTTACATTTTAGGCGGATTTCAGAATGAGGGACTGACTGAACCTGCAACAAGGGATACAATTGTCAGAAACTACTTTTGATGATGGTGTCATTGTAATTAAGGTACAATAATAATGACAGTTAAATACAGTATTTTAGTTTAACTTTTAGTTTTTACCTGTTAAGCCTTTCAGTACAGTAATGTCTACTCTATTACTACATGTTAGAAAATGTTATTATGTGTTATATTATTTGACAGATTCTGAAGTTTGATTACATTCTGTTCTGAAAATCCACCCTGAATCCACCCTTCTGTTGGGATCAGGATTATCCTGATTATTTTGGATCAAAGGGATCCCACCAACTAAAAACACATACTGAAGGTTTGATCCAGATCAAAACAAAGTTAGGACAGGTGATCTTTTTCTTTTGAACAACCCATTTTCAAGATTTTATCCAATCCAATCACTTCTGAACATCTGGGCCCGGCTGTCTGAATGGGAGCAAATCCCTGCAGCAGGTTCAACATGTGCTGGAAATCAGGTGTCCACATACTTTTGGCCATATAGTGTATTACAGCTTGAGACATTTAGTCACTGTGTTTTGCCCTTAAAGTGTTTGCGGCCTTCAAATTTATGAAACTGTGCAGATTGTAGAATTCTTGTGTTTTCAGCTCATATAAAACACTTTGTAAAGTAAAGTGGTGGTGGAAACTTTTTATATACAGTCTATGCATGAGTCTATGGGTGGAAAGTGTTTTGATTTTTCTTTTTAAAATAAACAGTAATTACTTTGAAGTATTTGTTTGTTTAAAATGCACAATAATGTGTAATATATAGGCTAAATAATTATGTTTGGGTGTGAAATTGGGTTCCTGCTCATCCACTGATCTCTTCTGGGGCGCCGGAGAGAGAAATTAAGCCAATCAGCGTCCTCAAATCTGATGCCTGCAGGACGCTGCAGGATCTGCCCCAAGACAGTCAGTCGGTGTTAGAGGGACACGTGACGATGTTATTGATATGGATATATTGATGATATTTACGATGATCTTCAGACAGCTACCGTTTTCAAAGGCACCTCAAAGACCGTGCAAAAAGAACTTTTGGACTGCATGCTGTCAGTTCTTGAAATCTGGAGGAAGTAAAAACTGTAGATTATCTTGCTCTTCAGGCAGATGAGACAGCTGACATCTCCACCCACTGTCAGCTGGTGCTCGTGCTACGGTACATCGACAAGGAGAACAACAGCTGTTGGCTGCAGAGGCAAGCTGGAAAGTTACAGGCAGCTCTGAAGTGTTAAGATGAGGTTATTTCCAGTGGTGGACAGTAACTCTGTGTTTTATATAAACAGTGTTGAAATATTGGCATTCACAGGTGGGTAAAATACTTTTTGAGACTCTTAATTACTAATATTATAATTACTCTTAGTAATTTTTGTAATATGAAATAGTTATCGTCCACACATGCTACATTTTCCCAAGCATTTCTGAAGCCCAAGTCTGGGGTTAGGGTACAATCTGGAACAATCTACCCGAGGAAATTAGGCCGACTCTGTAAACTCTTTTAAATCCCTTGTTAAAAAATACTTTTATCGAAGAACATTACCGGATTTTACATGATTTTATTTGATGTATATTTTGAAGTGACTTTTTTTTCTTGTATCGTTTTTGTTATAACTGCTTCATGTTAAGCACTGTTGCGTTTTTTTTCAGATTTTGAGAAAGGAGAGGCTGGATCCCATTAAAATTAACAAGAAAATTTAATAAAAAAATAGGTGAATAAAAGATGGCATTACAGAACAAACAACAAAACAAAAACACTGCAGTGGACTGGAAAGTTGTTCCTCTTTTCAGATTTACAGCTTACAGTCCTGATTCTCACAAAATGAATTGTTAATATCCTCCAGGTATGTGGGCGGGTCTTTTCCTTCAAATGGCTCAGGACCATAGCCATTGGTCATTTGGTTACTTCTTCGTCACCCAATTAGGAAGGGTGTACGTTACTGCTCTATGTTACTTTTGGTCGAACAAAAGAGCGCCAATTCCCAGACGTGAAACCCCCTTCAATCTACAGGAATAAACAGTCTTTTGCTCTAAACTAATCATGGAGAACAACAGGGCTTGTCTACAAAATGGTTGACACCCTGTCTTAAGTGTCAATGAAACAGTCAAAAATCTGTCCTTCTGGCACTAAACAAAGAGGTGTCAGTTTTCTTTACATTACAAAGAGGATACAAACAATGGTTTAAACAACATTCTAATGCAATACTTTGGCCTAAAATCCTGCAGGTTTACATTTGAAGGAAGGCACTGAAACACTGGAGTACATTAAGTTTGTTGTAACTTTTTAAAACTCAACAGCACTTTGTAACGTTTTTAAAAGTGCTCTATAAATAAAGATTATTATTATTATTAATGTGTATATATAGATATACATATAGATATATAACTAGTAGCTTAGCTCACTACATTTTCCAAGTAGCTTTCCCAACACTGATCATTATTTGGTGGAAATTTCTTTGACTTTTACCGTCTTGTCATTTGTTGTTTTGACTTATTTTTGCAAGGCTGATACTGATTATTAGTAGTCAAGTTGGCCGATATTTGGAACCGCTATGTATTTGCCGTAAAGGTGAAAATCTCCAACACAAACGTAAACATTTTTTAAGAACTTTTTTTATCAAGTTTTCTTGAACAAACACAAAAAAATAAAATAAACAAGAAGTCACCCTCTTCTTCCATCTTGCTTTAATATTCTACGTATAACCTCTTTCACATGACTGATTGACGTTTATCTTTTACTATTATTTATCTTATGTTTATCTAACTTTCCTTTGAAAGGGTGAATCTCATAGTGTATTAGTTTGTTTTACAGGTTTGAAACCTTGTAAATGGTGGTCAGAACGTATGTGGTCTAACAAATGTGTTGAATGCTTTTCCCTCCTCATAAAACATTTCCACAAGTGGAAGTTTATTTGATTAATTGATTTACTAGCTGCTTGGTGGTGCATTACTGTGACCAACTGTCATTTAACCTTTACTACACCTTCCTCTTTCTCCTGTAAGATCTAAGAGCTGCTGTTTCCTGTCAGGCTGCGGCAAGTAAACAAAACGTTACAACACAAGTTAAAATTTATTTTTTATACTATTTTAATAGAATGCAGTTTAAATGGTGATGATGAAAAAACAGTGGGGACAATATGACCTGGAATTATTATTATTATATCACAGATTTTCAATATTTCCCAGCTGTAAATAACAACTTCTAATGACATCATTCATTAAACTAACTTGGACCTGGACAAGTTTGACTGTTAAAGTAACGTGTCTGTCCCAGTGAGCTCTTCACATTTGAGAAGTTCTAGTTTGGAAAAGGATTTTTCAGCAGAGGCCACACTCACTGGGATTGTTAATAAAAGCAGAAGAACAGTGCAGACTACCCCAAAGCTTTTCAGAGGCGGTCTCTGAAACACCTGGGAAGGACAGGAGCTGCGTGGGAAATGTCCAGGTCATGTCACTTTTGTAAATACGGCATCTGCTTGCTCAGAAACATCTGTTGGCGTGCACAGTGTTTCAGGCTGTAGAAGTTAGAAAGTAACGTTACTCCTCCTCATCATCACTGAGGTGGATGGTGCGATGCTGTTGCTATGGCAGCAGCTGCCCCCTTCGGCTCTTGTTGCTAACAGCTCGTGTTGCTGCCATCCCGTCTGTCTTTTTAAGGAAAATTAATATTTGTTATATGAATCTTTTCTTTCTCGGCTGCTTCTTTCAGTTTTCGCTTCTGAAACCCACTTCTGTGTTCGTTCATATCGAGTTAATTTCCCGGTTGCTGTCATTTCACCAGCTAGCTGCTCTTTTGTGTGGAGTTGAAAATGACCCAGAATTCTGTGCGGGCCCACACTGCTCATCTTTAATCTAAAATCTCCCATGAATTCATCCTTGTTTAAACTGAATGTAGATACTATCTGCAGTCTGTGCTGCCCTCCTCTCCCTCTGGGTTCTGTCTCTGCAAACACAAAGCTGCAGAGGCAGAGCGCCGTCTGCTGGCTGCAGTCATCATCACTTTTTCAAAGCATTTGTTAACAATGTTCTGAAAAATAGCAACAAGAAATGTTAAATAACAAATGAAAATGCTTTTAAAAGGTTTATTTGCACAATAAGATGCAAAGCACTTTAAATATAGAAGAAAAAAAATGCAAAACAAGCTTCTGATTGTGCATCATCACGTCTGCTGAGCTAAGACTCCTCTAATCTGAGCCCTTATGTCTCCACCACCTTTCAGCACAACGGCCTTGCAAGTCACATATAAAAATATGTTGTTTCATCGTCTAATGTTGATCATGATTGTTTCACTGTTCAGATATTTTGATCCTTAACATGTGAACATGTGAATCAGGGACACAATCTAAACTAGGGACTGAACTAAAACTATAATCTAACTAAAGATAAACACAGAAGCATTATAAATAAATAATCTATGAACCGTATTTAACGACATTCCCCTGGCACCTTTACATTTTAATCTAAATGTCCTCATGCAGCCTGTCTAAAGGTTGAACTGTCAGATTTTACATCCAGCTTTAGAAAAATATACGTCACCATGTCACATGACGTGGTGGCCGCAGTTGCTTTTCTGAGGCTGCACAAAGTTGGAACCAGACGTTTGGCTGGTCTCGCGGCATTTTTCTTTGCAATTGCCGCGAGATCAGTCCTTGATCTCAGCTCACAGTGAGCTCACGCAGGTACAATGTGTCCGACTTTACGGCTTTTATACCCGCCCCTGCGGTCACCTGCAGCTCGTTATGCCGCCGTCATCTCGAACGCACCTATTGTCTGCAGTAGCCTGTTTGTTGATTCACCTGAGCAAACACCTGTTTTCTTCCTGTGGACGTTTCCAGGCGCCACGAGGGCAAAAACAAAGTGGGAATAAAAACAGGATGTGACTGAAACTTCATCAGTGAAGAAATGTGGATGGTTGAAAGCTCCGGTAGGTGATGAGTGACAG